ATTAACAGCCGCTGCTATCGTTTACGGTGCGTACTGCGTACGTCGCGTTCGCATAAGCGGTCACAATGACTTAGCTAATTGGTTGATTGCAACGCGCTAATTTGCACGGACGTAAATCGCGCACACGCAACGTACGCACGTATGTGTATAGCCAGATGCTAACAGCGCGCAAATGTAACAGAAACGATGCAGTTTTTCAAGTTCCGTTTCATGTGGACATGGCAGTGCTGTGTTCGCACCTCACCCCCCCCCCCCCCCTGCACACTTGCACCGCGTCGTTGACGCATAATTAAGGAGTGAAGTATGTGCTTGAATTCTTATAATTATAATCTTGAAAATTTGACAGAAAAAAATTCTGTCAAAATAAAATTAAAATTGAATTTAAGTGTAAAATAAAATTTCATCACACGTTTCCTTGAAATTTAATTTCGCGATGATATATAACATATAAATATGTGTATGCTTGAACGTAATAATAAATAACGAGTAAAAGTAACACGCACATAAATTAATATTCTGCATTTTTATTGGTCGTATTAACAAAGTAATATCTCTCGGCGTTCCCAAGATTAACCATCGGTTACAGCTCTGCAATCTGCTCTATCGTTTCTAATCAAGCATGACGTATCTAATTGAACATTCATGATATTGTCAAGGCACAACTAACGGCCGATGGAGAGAAATAAATGGGTCCTCATGAGATCGAACTCGCGGTAAATTAAATAACGTCGATGCGATACAGGTTACTACCCGTTTCGCGATGGAATCGCACTAAAACACGTTCCCGCCGATATTTATTACGACATATACTTGCCAGGTATAAACCAGCTATCACTAATCCGCGCGCGGGAATAACATCGACGAGATAACGCGAAGTACATAGTTGTGATATAGTCGATTTCGTAAAATTATGTTGAAAGTAATTTGTTATTTGACATTTATGAATTCGTGTTAATTGAAGATTTGCGCTTTCCCGATATTTTCATTTACATATTGTCGTTTAAAGCTGTAATTAGTCAATCAGAATTACTCTACCATGTAATAGAATGATAACGGAGTGAGTGAATTATTTCTTAGCAATTATTTTTGAGAAAAATACACGAGAAATTTTTGTGAAGAATATAATCGAATTGATGTAAATGGTTTCTAAAACAAAGGAGATGTTATAAAACATTTTTTTTATCGGCAAAATTAAAACTGACACCTTGTATTACAGAAAGCTTCGTCGAATAATAACATAGCTACAAATAATTATATTGAGAGAGAGAGAGAGAGAGAGAGAGAGAGAGAGAGAGAGAGAGAGAGAACTATTCCTTAGGTTAATTCCGTTATCCTTGCGCGCAAAGCGAAACTGGTTATAAAATCGATGCAGAATGAGCAGCGCTTAGGATCAAAAATCGATACAGTCTGCTTGTAGTGAATAGATGTGTTATCTCAAGGGGACAAGGGGATATTATATTTGTTCGCTCGCGATTAAGCCAAAGAATTTAATGCGTTATCGCAAGGGGAGAATATGAGAGAGCGAATGCTTAGAGCGACTCCCGACTCCACGGTATGCGATGAAATTATAGTGTTTACGCGAATTAGATTTCGGTTTCGGTAATTTTCAGTTAATAACGACGAACTGGCCGGCGAGCGAACGCTTAAGTGCGGCCTCGGGCCCCATTAATGCTATTATAATGTAAAAGGCTACCTACACGTTCTGTTCTCTCTCTTTTTCTTCTCTCGGTCTCCTTTTCTCTTTTCAACATTATTTCTCTCTTTCTGCATCGCTTCTTGCGCGTCGATGAACTCGTAGTTGCACACGTAGTGCGTGTGCGTGAACAAAAAGGAAAATCCAGCGAGATTTAGATCTGTTGTGTATTATCGGCATTATATCAGGGCTACCTGCATTATAAGCTCATTTCCGATAAATTAACTCGATTAAAAACTGCCGCTTAAGAACCGCGTAAAATCTTTTCGAGACCCTTCCCCTTTCCATCTCACGCCTATTTAACCTCGGCTTTCCATCGAACCTCTCGCTTCTAGAAATTTGCTCGATCGACCACCGTTTTCTTTAAAGACTTCGCATACGATCGTACGATGTAAGCGTTGCATTTTACTGATATGCGCGAAACGTGATAGAGATACTTGTAATCGTTGCGTATTAAGCTTCGTGGAAAATTTAAATTGAGCTAAATTGAATCAAGTACATACATATGTATGTATACGGACATATAGAGAAGGAAAAAATAATTTCAATGCCAATACAATTAATTCAAATATTGTATATATAATAATAGAAAAGATTTCAATACTGCTTGAGCTTAAATGAGTATTTGTAACTCTATCAAGGCTATGAATACATTATATTATATATTCGCTTTACATAATCTATTTACATCATTATTACTTGTCTGCTTTATAAACGGAATATGCCATAAAAATTAAAAATTGGATTTGTTACATTTATCTATGATTACTTTAAATATTTATTCTAAGTAGTAAATAGATTAAACATTGAAAAATTTATCTTGTCATTTATACATTAGCAACAGTCATTTTTAATTCCGCCTCTAGAAACCATTGGCTCGTGGATATATCTATAGTGAACGATTTCGACAACTTACAAGTAATATCGAACGCTGTTACACGATTGCCACGAAGCTGGCATCGCCATTATGCCAAATGAACTTGTAAGAATTATTAATTCCTCTACGAGGCAAGGTCGCAGTGAAAGGAATGATATCTCTGCCGCACACATATATGCGTCAGCATTTATATGTTTATTTTAATTTAAGCTTTTCTCCTAACATATAGTAATAAATCATATGTATATTTATTTATATTTTAGAGTCTTGTATACCATCAAATTATTAAAATTAATTTAAAATGTACTAGAATCTATTATATTTTCGATGTATCACTATATCGATATATTGTTTCATATTGCACAAAATTATTTCTACTTAAAGCCAGAGTTAAACTTTTAAAAAATTGGTCAAATTTATTTTATCAAAAAAATTTTCGACTTTGATAATATAAGATTCATTAAATAAAATTTTTTTCATTAATAGATTTGTATCTTCTTCTATTTAAGAAGAAGTTTTACATTGAGGAGAAATGTACCTAAGTAAGAAAATGCAATGTTTTCATCTTATTTGCTTATACATATCACTGTGCGATATAATTGCGGCGAATAACATCGCTGCCGAGTAAATTGCTCGAATTTTTATATTTCTACACCACAAATTACCGCGGAAACGCTCTGGTCTTCTCGCGCGAGATTTATTTTTTTTGGATCGAATAACGATGCAGTACGAAGATTAACCGCGGCATCAGGTTCGCAAAGTATAGCGAAAGGGTACGCGGATTAAGGGGAGTCGCGTAAGAAAATTAACGGGCGTGAGAAGCGATAGTATCGTTTTATTCGATTTATGTACTGCGCATTACAAGATAACTTGCGTGTATTCGATATATGAATTTTTTGCGAATGCACAAAGATGTCTTCGAGACAGCAAGTTACACACACATATATACATATTATTTTATTTCAAACATTTAATAATTAAATATATATCTAACACTATCAGCTGATGAATTATTTCATTTACCGTTTGCGTTGTGAAATTAGCAGTCTACTTTCAAAATTTCAATATAATTAATAGAGTTCTTCTTCAAAGAGTTCTAGAATTCCTGATATGTTTAAGAAAGAGTTCGATTGAATGTAAAAAATAGAGATCCGAAAATATGATGGACGTCGGTCAAGAAAAAATACGACTGCGATCGCGTAATCTAATGGGTAGATCGAGAAGATCGCTCTTCGCTAAAGATTCGACATTCCCAACTTGTCACACGTGATGTTGGAAGACATTCGCGACATTTATCATAGGCTACGCGAAACATGTGTTTGGAGATTGACGTCTCACGACAAACACTCGAGCGCGCGAAGCGATGGACTCCGATTACAAATAATCGCGGTAGACACGATCGCGTAATCCAAGGGGTAAATCAAGACGATGGTCCATCGCTAGTTTCGACACTCGATAACCACTGATATGATAAACACTGTAACTGAAATATTTTTTTCGAAGAACAAACGATTTCTTCAAAATTCTCGATAGTTTCCTATGAGTATTAATGATTATTTTTAAAAGGTTCGACTCAACAAAATCGAAATTGAAAGAATTTTCGAAATATTTCATTTCTAGAACATAACTTTCTCGATTAAAAAATTTTCTTTGTAAAAATCTGACGTTTTTTTAGTATACTGAAAACTCTACAACTCTTTGGGGAAGAGTCAGAACTCTATTAATTATATTGAAATTTAAATAATGTGGTGCTAACTTTATAAGGATTAGCAATTATTATCTAATCATTCCATTAAGATAGTGATCGAGAGTCACGATGTGTACAATACTCCATTTTTATCTCTTATGTACTGATATATATATATATATATATGATACAAAATTGTATATTTTAGTGTGTGACGTAATTGGTATGAATTTTCTATGAGATTATGTAGAGATTCAAAACATTGTCTTATATATATATGAATGTGTGAAATTGACATCTATTACTTTCGATCACATGTGCGAATTATAATAAGTAGGAATCTTAAGCCTTGATATAGTTGCTTTGTTACTTTTATCTTTATGTATAATTATTTATATAAAAAATCGTGGGATATTATTTTGCTCAAATGGATTGTTATATTCGGAATAACCGTATTTTTAATAAAATCGATTGAATGTCGCTATGATTGTTATGATTGATATAAATTATAATCTAAATATCATAGCATTACCTGATTTGCAAAATGCTAATTATTAAGATAAAACTACTCATCACAGACATATTTTGACTCACCGAAATGTTGTTTTCAACATCTGATCTACGTGTACTGCAATTTTCGAGTGTTGATTGTTGCAACTTTGGCGTGACATCTGTAATCATATATTAAGAATATTTATATTTTTATTATCATTTATACATAAGCGATATAATTTTTTATACAGATCATTCGTTGCGAGGAGGCAGCGAGCAGGCTGTCCCACAGACGAGTCCTGCGAGCAGCACAAGCAGCTCAAGCCAGGTTACTCAGGTGAGCCAGCAACCTCACCCGCAGTCTCATCAGCAATCGCCGCCGTCAACGACGACGACGACGCCCCAATCTATCCAAATGGGCATCTCCACGGAGGAGGTGAGGCCCGAAGAGGAAGGCGCTCATCCGCGAGCGGCGCCGACTAGCCCCGAAAGCGAAACGGAGGCCGACGATTTCGCGCCCAAGAGAAAGCAGCGCCGTTACAGAACGACCTTTACCAGCTTTCAGCTGGAAGAGCTCGAAAAGGCCTTCTCCAGGACGCATTACCCGGATGTCTTTACGAGGTAAGTCGATTAATTGAATAATGTAATAATTTCAAACTTTATATTGATTTCACGTACCGAATGATACTCGGTACAGAATTTTATCTATATAATCACAAACGTATGGTATAGAAAGATTGCATAAATGCCATAACATTTGAACAGAATTGCTTTAAACAAAGAACTGCATAAAACGTGTTGTTTATGAAAATAAGATGTATCGAATAAATAAAATATGTGTCGCACATAAACAATATAAAATAGATTCAATTCCATAATAACAGTCGAGCAAAAACTAATTGATACAAAGCTCTTTACGAGGGCGTCATACTTATCCTTCTTAGAATAATCTCGACGGCTAAGAGCTTATAGTATATCTCGGAAGCTTATGTACCTCCCATGAGTCCAGACGATAGGCAAGTGTCTAGCCGTATTTATCAGGCTTTAGAATTCATGCTCGGTAGAGTAACGGGATTTAGATACAATGTGAGGAGTCGATTATCTGCTGCCACCCAAATATTTGGTTGTCTGGCTCCTGTGCACTCTCCCGGCTTATCGTCGATATCGTCTTTCTCTCTCTCTCGCTACTTACTAAATTCTTTTTCAAAAATGGTCTCCGCCGCAGAACATTTACGATGAGTGCACAGGTAGTCCTTGAGCATGGTTATAAAAGAGATCTGGTTATCCTAAGTGTATACTACCTGAGACAGTCTCGAAATAGTGATGATCGAATGACGATTGGAGACACAACGTATGCAACAGCATTATATGTCCTTTAAAAGGTCCTGCTAACTAGAATTCCAAAGTTCTAAGTGAAAAATGAGACGCCAGAAAATGAAGAAAACGATTCTTTAATAATCAATAAAATTAATGCATCGGTTTAATTACATGCGATAAAAATTTAATATCAAAATTTTATCTCTCTAACAGAATTTCATTTTAAGAATAAAAAATTTCGTGGAAAAAAAATATTAAACATTAACGATAAAAAAGAAGATACATTGACGTTAACTATAATAATATCGAATGTTCGTTATCTCACTTTACTTTCATGCATTTCTTGCAGTAATGACATATTATATGTGATTTCTTGTAATAATCATATAACATAAATAATTCGAAATATCTAACATAAAAGAGCACATTTCGTCATGTCAATTGTACATTTTAGAAAAAAAAAAACAAAACTAAAATTAAAGCAAAATCGGAACTGTCTAAAGCATTTTCAAATATAGTCTTGAGTAATGATCGTGCCCCTTTAATTTTTTAATCTTAATCCGTGGCAGATTTTAAATGAATCACGTACATCCATCCACGTAAGTCTGCAAAAGTATCCGCGAGTGTAAATTCGCGGAACGATACATCGATCATCGAGCCTCCTTGCAGCCGGACTGACGATCCTCATGCAAATTCCCATCCGTAGACGCGGCACGGCAGTTTTGCATTAAGTCCCCTGCACACTCGGGTCCAGTTACATACGTACAGTATATCGCGCCGCCATTGGGCCCTGGCGCAATCTATCTGGATAGCCTTTTCTTTTCTCTTGTCCTTTTTTCGGTGCCTTCCTCCGTGGAACACCCGGTAGGTAACTAATAGCGGTGTAATCGCTCGTAATAGGTCCGGTCCTGCGGCCACGGTATGGGTTCTCGTAATTAACGAAGATGGTGGGGGAGGGGAGGGGGAGTATGCAGAGAGAGGTGAAACAGGTAGAGTGCCCGTGGTATACGATCAAGACTGGGGAGATGTATTCGCGAATGCTATGCGAGACACGTCATTTATGTGCGTATATGAAACTGTGACGAAGATAGGTCCTAACGAACAAAATACCCTTCGTTTATCTAACGAAAAATTGGAATCAACTCCTTCATAATTCTAATCATCCTCTTTTGTACCAAAAAAAAAATTTTAAGCACGCGAGCTCTATAATAAGTATTAGAAAAAGAAGACAATTGTTTGTTAATCTTTGTGATCATAATTAAGAAATTATTAATATATTGACTTTTGAGAAAAAATCAATTTTTCTCATTTGGCTAAAGAGAATAAAATAAAAAAATTAAAAAGGCATGGAGATATTTAATGTGAGTGGTAGAATTATCGTTTTACTATTCATTAAAAAAATAAAATAAACTAAAATTTATTATACATTTAAAAACTTCTGAAAACTCGTAAACTATACTTTTTATTTCTAGTTATTTATTAATATATAACTTGTCTTCATAATCTTCAATCACGCAGTATATATTAATTTTTATTATAGCTATACATATGTTCTTATAATATCGGATATCTATTTATCTATCGCCATAAAAGTATTTTTTTCCTTCAGAAAATAGCCAATAATTGACTGAATTGGCTTCTAATAATATTCGTGTCGCATATTAATTTATTCTTCATCCATTGGTACGCACTTCCTGCCCGTGGAAAATTATCCGACGTATTCTGCCGTTCCGCAATATAAATTGATCGCCGCTTCTTCCGCGATTTCGCCGTGTAGAGGTATTAATTTCATACTAATTGGATTTTATGGTCGTTTAGGTTTATTGACTAGTCCAACGAGAAAGGAAGGAACGAAAAAAGAAAGAAAGAGAGAGAGAGAGAGAAAGAGTAAACCGCGTCGTGGAGCATGATGCATATTCATTAAGCGCCTGAAGGGCACGCGTGCGATTCGGACCTATCGAAATACAATATATCGACGAGCCAAGATGATGCTAGCACGGTCTTAACTTGCTGTACAACGTGAATGAAAATTCATTTGCCAATAAAAGACACATGTTTCCCCACGTGGAGGTTTGTGTACGTCCAATTGGACTTTGATAATACATTTCTCTCTTTTCATATATGTGTATATATTAATTTTTTTTCGTCGTTTATTTTTTAAGTAGAACAGTTTGACTGCGCAGTGTCAAGTAAACTTTTTTTCTGAACTCTCAGTTTTCGACCTCCAAATAAATGTTTTTACGTATATTAATTGTAAATGCAATGTCCAATTTTTTTCATGCTTTTAGTCGTATGTATATCTGTCATTTGTTGCTTCTTTCTATAAAGTGATCAAAAATTCTTTATTGTATGCTTTTATATACGCGAGATATAAATTAATCTTAATTTTCTTTCTTAATTTCCATATTTCTCTTTATTTCTTGCTGTTTTTATTTTTAAAAAGAATTTCCTTCAAACCGATTTTGTCTGCGATTGATCCGAGACGAAAAGGTAGCTCCGGACAAACTGTCGGCGACGGCATGGAATGCCGTTTTCAAGTGCGATAACAGATAAGCGCGCGGCTTTTTGTGCGAACCGCGAGTGCGAGGCTCGATTGGCATTTGCGAGGGAGCGCGCGGATTACCAGATTCGTCCTGTTTATATGGCACTTAAAGCCAGCTCGCTACGTAAGGTCGCGAGAGAGCGTGGCCACTTACCTTCACGGGCTCTTAAGATCTAATTTAGATTAGAGTATTGCGACTTGGGTCCGCGCTGCTACTGACGGCAGCGTCGAGCCCGACCGGACTAATCATTCGACCGCGAGCGGTTCCGCTAACCAGTCTCGATGTCCCTGTTGATTTTAATTTTTTTATCCCGCTATAAATTCTAGGAGAGAGAGAGAGAGAGAGATAGAAATGAGAGCGGAGCGCGTTTAAACCGACGAGATCCCGTCATCGTTTCGAATGTCCTGCTACAGCTACAGTTTCTTTCTGACGAATGACGTGGCTAATTAATGACCTCGTAAATGTTAACATGTACGATGTGTTAAGCTTCATTTATACTCTTGGCGACGTTTAATCTCAGCAGGTTTTTACATCAACGTCGATACAATCGGCAAAATTATATCGTGCGATGTTTACGCGAAATTCATTTTATTATTTGACTTGTTCGATATTATTTTTTCATTATAAAAACGTATATATGTAAGCCAAATTATCTCAGTTTAATTTTATAAATGCTGAAAAAAATGTCCGGACTAGTCATAACAAAACTCTTCTTGATGATTCTCCATTTCTTAATTACTCGACCAATCGGACGCTATTTCATCCCGAATTCGCTTCCAAAAGCTGACTCGGCGGAATCGCGCGCGGCCACCCCCGTCGTGCGTGTTCTCAATCTATCTACATGGTGAATCCATAAAATTTATCGTCGGTTTGCGACGCGTTTCGAGGGATCCACCTGTTCAAAGGGCCGCGCGACGCGCTTCTCAGTAAATCATTCCGAAGGATGCCTTTATATCCGCGGGGTGAGCCAGTGGTGAGTTTAATAAGGATGATTGTTTCCAGTGATCCATGGAACGGAACCAGTTCTACGGAGCGCGGTCTCTTCTTCTGCTCCCTCCCTCCCTCCCCCCTCCCACTTCTTGCGTCCTCTCTTTCCCCCTTCACCCTCTCTCGACCGCGATTCTAGCCATCTTCTGGTCCTGCCGTTCGCTTGTGTCCCGCAACTTCTCCTGTCATTAATCGGCCGACGACGAGTCATGCTCCGATTAGATCGATTAGAAACGCTGCCGACCCGTTATTCGTTTCTCAACAAATAAGATTAGTGCCTTCCGGAGTTAATTAGTGGACGCTGTTGCTAGCTACGTCAGGCCCACGGAAGCGGCATTGCATCTCTGTCCGTCACGTTAATCAACGACGTAAACTCGATACCGCTTTCATTCCGTTTTCGATCGATCATTGGTTTATCATGAGAGAATAATATTTTGGACTAATAATACATAGCGAGTTAATGATAGAGATCCATACGGCATTCTTATTTTATATATTAAAAGTTAATGATATATAATTTTTTTTCTTTTTATTTGCCTAGAAATATAGCATGTTGTTATACATATTGCTGTTAAAATAAATTATTAATAAATAAATTTCAAATTTTTCTGTCCATCTATCTATATCCGTGTCTACATAAAAGGTTATAATAAATATTTAACAGATTTATGATAATATTTTTAATCCAAATTTTTTTACCATTTATGATTTAGCACCATTTCAAATTTTAATTATATCAGATTTTAATTTCTAGATTGATACTAAAAGAGAAAC